TGCTTCTGCTGAAGGCAGTGACAAAACTTTAATTAACTGAATCACTGAATGGTCTAAAAGTGGGAGTGCTGAGGTCTTTCCCAAAGATAGATGCAATGTAAAAGTCTTACTGAATGAAAGCAACCATGTGTACGTAGGTGTATACTTACAGTTTTGGTTTGTCATAATCATTCCTGGAACCAGAATTATACCTGCAGTGAGAGCTACAAGCTCAAGCTCCTTTAGAGAGTGGAGACAGGGAAAACTATAACAATCCAAATTACCATATCACTGAAATCAAAACATGAAATAAATTTGTTTGGGTTTTTTGTTTGTTTGTTTGTTGTTTTTTTTTAAAGGCTGAAAAATAACAAAGCATCTTTTTTTTTTCCCCATTTCTAATACCTTCTAATACCTTTTTATTTTTTTAAGAAAGTTATATATTTGCTTTAAGTCAGAAAAAATGAGGCATGTTTAGTGTTACGTAATGACTGATGTAACTTCAGCTAGCAGTATCTATCAAACTTGTAGCTCTGTAATTAGTGAGTGAGAAAAGTTTAATATTTCAGAAGCATCACTTTGGATGTGTAATTGCAGCTGGTTCTCACAGTTCTAAAATTCCTTGTGAATTACTTCCTAAACAGTTCTTGATAAACGATCAGTCACATCTCTTGCTGATTTTTCTGGGTTAATACCTTAATTGTCTCACATATGAGGTTATAAAATAAGATCAGTTTAGAAACTCAGTTGAGATATATCTATTTTGAAAGAAATGGTGTTACACAGCTCTGTAATAGAGAGGGGATGATGAGGTACCCTGAAATGATTAGACATGATGCAAGAGTGAATTTAATTTGGAAGATTGAGGTGTGGAGGTAACTGCTTTCTGCCTACACACTTTTACCACTACTCAGTATAGCTGAGGACTTATAAATACTTTATAAATTAAAGAAATTAACCACAGCACTCCCAAACTGCGAGAACCACCTACGCCATTTGAACATTGTTCTATTAATAGCATCTAAAGCATTAGCTTCTGCAACCATGGCATACATTAAAATGGAGCAGAATTAAAAAGATCAAAAGCTGATGTTCTTTTCCAGTCAAATATGTGGATTTGGAAGTACTAGATACTTTTCCATTTTAAAACTGCAGTAATTTCCTGGCTATCTCCAGATCCCTGACAAAAATGACCATGTTTGTAAAAAGAGAGTGATATATGTAGTAACCAGCTTTAGTAAATCCCCAGAGAGACTACTTCCCCCCCTCTGTAAATTCTTCAAGCTTCTGTGATGCTATCAGGAAGGAAACTTTTTTCATCATTCACTTTTGTGTAATAGGCCCTGTGCTGGAATTAAGCTTCATTTTTCCTCCCAATTCTCCCCAAACTAACCGAAATCATTATGTGACTAAACACCACCCAATCCAGCACTTCTACTTGCAACATCTCTAGAAGCCTTATTTAATCTCACCTGCAATCCAATTAAAAGCATCTCAGAAATTCATGCCTATGCTAATTGTAGATTCACATCACTGCTTTATAGTCATTAAGCCTATGAATTAAAGTTTTTATAAGTGCACCTAATCTAGTTTATCAACAAAATGCTGGAAGGTTTAAGTGCTAAAACAAGATAATCAGCATTCATGCTTCAAGATTTCAGCAGGGGTCAGGAAGGAATTGTCTTGTGAGGCATTTCAGAACGGCTAATTATGTTTGTTCCTAAAATTTGGTCCTGAAATAACTGAAATCAGAGTAAAAGCTTTTGAACTTTTAACTGTGAATGACTAATATGACTGAGGTGTTGATTTATGTCAGAAAGTCCTGTGGTCATTTTATTCTTCAGTAAATGCTAAAAAGATTCACTTTGAATATACAAGTCAATAACATAAGCCTCCATCTCCATGCTCCTAGCAAGGATTGGAAACATACTGTTGAGAGCCAATTGGTGATGAAACTATATATCTGTGCGTAGATGCATATTCTCTGAGACATCATTTTAAAGCAGTGGTGCTCTCAACTTACAGAACTGAGTCAATGTTTTTGAATATTAACTGTGTGTACACAGTTGCCAAATAACCTCTTGTAGATCCAAAAGATGCAGCATTCAAATAGCTCAAAATTTTCTGTTTTGTTAGAGATCTGTTGTAAATTTCCTCACACTTATACAGCAGCAATCATCTCCCAATGGAAAACCCACCTAGAATCAGACAGATGAGGACAAATAAAACCAACGAGACTGTTCCTGGCAGAACTACCAGTATTAGTGTCTCTCTTTTGTTTTGTTAGTTTTGGTTTGTTTGTTTATTTTCTTTTTTTTTTGTTTGTTTGTTTGGTTTTTTTGTGGTTTGTTTGGTTTTTTTTTGTTTGTTTGTTTTTTTTTAATCTAATGGATTTTTGCTCTCATCCACCCAGAGTAAACCAACAGACATGTGGCATGTATCACAGATGGGTCAGCTGTGGTGAGCATATATAGCAGCACATATTTGTTACACAGGTGCTTGGGTTTAGACTCTCTGGCTAGCCAAGCGCACTCAAGAGTTTTTGGCAAATGCCCGTAGTTCCATGGATTGGAAGAGAAAAGACAGTGAGAAAGTAGTCAGCTGGCACTAGTGCTTTCCACAGCAGCCCTCAAGCCTGAGCCAAACCTGCTGGTCTCATTCTTCACCCCATATTCTGAATAACTGTCAAATTCCTAAACTTATTTTGCAGTTCAGTGGGAGGTTTTCTTGGCTGGAGTTACTGGAACAGAGACACTGGGATAGCACCTCTGTGTACAGTATTGAGCCCTTCAATTGTTGATCATTCTGGGGCAAAAGTGCTTGTATGGGGTCTTTCCGCCCTTGATTTTTTTACTTCTTATCCCCCCACACTCTAGTTTGTTTCCTTCCCTGGGTTTATTGGTGTTTTTTGTTCTTGTTGTTTTGGGTTGGTTTGGGTTTGTTGTATTTTTTTTTCCCTCTCCATGTGTTTTATTTGTTTTGCTTTGGGTGTTTTTTTTTTTGTATGTTTGCTTTTGTTTTATTTCATTTTGGTTTTCTGTGTGTGTTTTGATTTTTTTTTTTGGTGGGGGGTGTTTTTTTTTTTGTGATGGCTTTTTTTTTTCTTCTTCTTGTTCTCCCCTTCCTGTCCTCCTGTGCCCTCCCAACCCGCATTCCCTTCAATATTTTATATGGGTGTTGTTTTAGGTTGTTTTGTTTTGCTTATTTCCCTCCCTCCTCACCTCCAAGCAGCTGGAGGGGAGGGAAGGGCAAGAGTCTCCTGGACAGACAGGCAGGCTCGCATTTGGCAGTGGCAGCACAGGCTGCTCTTAACTATCTGGATATGCTGCAGGTGTAACTGAAGTATGGTGACATTTATTATGTCCCTCTAAATAGCTGCTGCTGATGTTGCAGAACCGGTGATGAGCCAGTAGAAATGCTTGAACCATAATCAAGCCTGAGAAGACAATGTTATGATGTTGACTGAGATATATATATATCTCACCACTGATAATGTTGTGCTCAGATTAATCTATGTGATATCTGGATATGGCAGTGGGCTAAATTACTTGCTGATCAACTGTTGTAATAGGAAGATTAGTGAGATCTACAGAGGTTATATTAAGCTTATACGTCATTAAATATATGTATGTTTTTCAGACAGTTCTATAATTTTTTCCGTACTCTAACATAATTTTCTCTCCGATATTCTACTTAATAACATTCTACTTAATAATAGTAAAAAAGGACTTGTAGTTCTTGTGTTGCAAAGATACCTCTCCAACTATGAGGAGGTTTGCCTCCGCTCCTTGCTATTGAGAGACATATGAGTTGTCTATTTCTGAAGATATAAACTGGACACATATATCTATGTGTGCATGCAGAAGTAATCTCTGCTGTATAAATAGCCTAAGTCTCTAGTGACCAAAAAAGGCCAAAAAAATCAGGCTTCCACTTCAACAGAAATCTGGCTTTATCAATATGATAAACCTAGAAAGTTGGCCAGGGTTAGTATAGCAAGGGCTGAGCACTTGTTCAAAAAATCCAAGCTATGAGTGTAAAGTCTGCAAGTGGGAGGGAGCTGGAAAACCTTGGAGGGGGGGTGTGTGGGTGTGTGTGTGTGTGTGGGTGTGTGTGGGTGTGTCTTAGTTGTGCTAGAGACAACTTTTGGGGTCAGAAGGTCCCTGTTCATTGCCAGGAAGCTTCAACCTTGGTTGGTTCAGTTACACAGACCAGCCCTAGGCCCATACCACTTCCCAACTTCTTCAGTTCTTGATACTCCAACAGGATCAAAGATGGCATTTCACTCAAGCTTTCAGTAAATTTAAATATTATTTATCCAACCTAAATTCCTTTAAAGGAAACTTCGAAAATACAAAACCTGCTAGTTTTATTTAAACAGAGTTTTGCTGAGAAATTTCTGACTTCAGTCATCTTATGACTATCTCTAAAATATGTGTGAAATGTCTGTAATTTAATCAGTGTGCTGTTATCTTATAAACCTAATGACAACTGGTTTAATGCCAACATTTTTGTTGGCACTGCAGTTCATTTTATGGTAATGTTTCAGCAACTCTGGGACTAAATTTATAATTCTTGCTTTCGATATCAAGAACGGTAAGAAAGAATTGACACCTTTTCTCTGTTTTCATAGAGAAACCTTGGTTGCTTACCTCTTTTTAGTAAAAAGAAAACATTAATTTGCAATAGTACATTTTCAGTGAGGTCTGCATTAGATATCCCTCTGATGTGTAATCATCACTTTAAGCAATAACACGGTATTCTCAAGCAATTTCCACTATAAGTTTGCTTGACTTTTAGTTTGAAACTGCTCACAATTGGGATTGGTCTTTTCTCACTCTTCATTATCTTAACCACTTATACCCAAGTACTTAAGGCTTTCCTATTTTTGCATAAGTGTGGGATATGAATATATGACTACATGATATATTGACTTCCTATGAATGATAAATGGAGACATTATTTCCCAGCATATAAAAAAAATACAAAACTAGAAATTTATTAATGAAAATTAGTAAAAACACACTTCAAAAAGTGGTTTAATATTTCTTTTATTATGCTTTTCTTTCCTCTTCCCTCCATCCTTATTCGTTCTTGAAAACGTCACAAGCATGGTATGCGTACTGTGGAAAGGATAATAGTCTTCAAATAAGCCTTATCCAGCCTTGCTCACAGCACATACAGACAAAGGACACCTTCCTAGCAAAATAAACTGCTTTGCAACCAACCCTTCCAAAAGAGCATATTTGTACATTTTAATTACTCAGATTTTTTCCTTACCGTTGATTAAGCTGATTAGACAGACAGTGAAATACAGCTAAGAAAAGTATATACGTATTTAGGTGATACCAGTGCTGTCAAGGCTCGCTGTGTCAGATCAGCACCCATCACATCTATGAAGCACACCATATAAATGAAATAGTGAGTGGCAGGACTGGCTCAGTGAAGGACAGCAAGTTCATCCTTCTGTGGTTTTTTTTTTTTTCAGTAGCTCATCACTTGCATGAAGAATATTTGATAAATACCGAATACACTGTAGACTGACTGTCTTGGGTTCAGCAGTAGGAGTCATTTTTCTCCTTCTTGGTAGCTGGTGCAGCATTGAGTTTGGACTTCCAGCATGGGAACAGTGCTGGTGATACCGATGTTTTCGGTTGTTGCTAAGTGATGTTTACCCTGACCAAGAACTTTGTGAGGCTCATGCTCTGCCAGGGAGGAGGGGAAGCCGGGAGGAAGCAGGGTCAGCGCGCCTGACCCAGGCTAGACAGGGGGCTATTCCATACCACAGCACATCATGCCCGGGGCAGGGGGTAACTGGGAGTTACCCGGAAGGACATGGGCTTCCAGGTGGGACTCGTTTCTTGGCGAGTGGTATTGTATTCTCTTCCCTTGTTATTTTCTCTTATCATTGTTGTCGTTGGTGGTAGCGGTGGTGGTTTGTGTTGTACATTGGTTGCTGGACTGTTCTTGTCTCAACCCGTGGGAGTTGCACTCTTTTGATCCTCCTCCCTGTTCCTCTGGGAGGGAGGAAGGGGAGAGCCCCGGGGGGGGGGGGGGAGGGGGGGGGTGTCGTTGGTTGCTCTCAGCCCGGCACCACTCACTGGGAGTGAGTGAACAAGTTGTCTGGCTGGGTTTAAACCACGACAGTTCTTTTGGCGCTCAGCGTGGGGCGTGAGGGGTTGAGATAACAACAGATCTGACCGGATTAATAGTCACTCAACACAATGCCGATTTACTGGCTCTCAAGGTTGTTCCTCTTGATCTCACAGTTTCAGTATATCGTATCTTACTTCTATCCGGTATTTGCTGTATTAGTATTTTTCAAGTGTGGGGCTTGGGCTAAGGTTTTTGTCCCATTGTACTTTATGGTAATGACTTGTAATACAATAGAATCATTGATCATGAAACTGATCTGGCTTATGTTCCCAGTGTGGTCACCAACTTTATACTTTGGGAGGTATATGATGGAGGTGCTTAGCAATTACACATCTTTTTTCTCCTCCTCAGGTGCTCAACCTGTGAAGGAGACATTCTTTTACCCTCCCAGTCCTCCCCCCAGACCATTTACATTTGCAAGTTTTGAATTTTTTGAATGGCCTTTTAATGCTGTTGAGACTTGTTTGCTGAGCATGATGGGGATCACCATGCTGGCACGCATACAGAGTGTGTTTTGTCCGTGACTGATTTCAAGAGTTAAGCGGAGTCAGGTTTGGGTCTTGTCTGGGGTCAAACGACGATGTAGGAGGACCAAGAGATTTTCCCTGAGGCTGGACAGACATGAGTGGCAGGGTGTGTGGGATAGTATGGACAAGTATCTAGGTCAGTGGGCCCCTCCAGTACTTTGGAATTTCACTACCGAACAACTGCAAAATCCAGAAGAATTAGTAAAACACTTAAATGAGGTGTGTGGTCATTCTGGCCATACCAGAGATGGACAAATCATGGCAACATGCTGGGGCTTGGTCTATGTTTACAGGGCCTTGTTCAACACTATCCAGCACCTTCAAAAGGAAAAGAATGTTGGTGGATCTGAGGGCAAAGCAACAGTCAGCACAGCTACTCCAGCTCCAAGCACAGCAGCTTCACCACCCCCAGCAACAAATACAATCACTACTCAGACTTTGGCTGCAATGAACAGCACAGCTACCCCAGTGGCAAGTACAGCAGCTGCTCAAACTTGGACTGCAACAGACAGCGCGGTACCCCAGCTCCAAGAACAGCAGTTACCCCCCTGCCCCAAAATAACTGTCAACAGTGTGATATAGTCAATCTGCCAGGCGTCCCCATATTTATACTTCAACCATCATCCTCCATACCAACAAGGCTTTAACCGTTTGGCTTGTTTAATTGCAGCACATGTTTCACACTCATGCAGCAATTCTGCCAGAAGTCCAGTTCTCAGTTCCCATGCTTACTTGTTTTTTTTCTTACATATACCAGAGTGCAGGCCACAGTTTGCTTTTACTTGGAGGGGTGTCCAGTTCACTTGGAACCGACTGCCCCAGGGGTGGAAACACAGCCCTACCATTTGCCATGGACTGATCCAGACTGCACTGGAACAGGGGCAAGCTCCAGAACACCTGCAATACATTGATGACATTATTGTGTGGGGCGATACAGCAGAAGAAGTCTTTGAGAAAGGGAGGAAAATAATCCAAATCCTGCTGAGAGCCGGTTTTGCCATAAAATGGAGTAAGGTCAAGGGACCTGCACAGGAGATTCAGTTTTGGGGAATAAAATGGCAAGATGGACGTAGACAGATCCCCACAGATGTGATCAACAAGATAACAGCAATGTCCCCACCAACTAATAAGAAAGAAACGCAAGCTTTCTTGGGTGCAGTGGGGTTCTGGAGAATGCACATCCCAAATTTCAGTTTGATTGTAAGCCCTCTCTATCATGTGACCCGGAAGAAGAATGATTTTAAATGGGGCTCTGAGCAGCAACAAGCCTTTGAGCAAATTAAACATGAGATAGTTCATGCAGTAGCCCTTGGACCAGTCCGGACTGGGCCAGATGTAAAAAATGTGCTGTCCACTGCAGCTGGGGAGAACGGTTCTACCTGGAGCCTCTGGCAGAAAGCTCCAGGGGAGACTCGAGGTCGATCCCTTGGCTTTTGGAGTCGGGGATACAAAGGATCTGAGGCCAGCTATGCCCCAACTGAGAAAGAGATACTGGCAGCCTATGAAGGGGTTCGAGCTGCTTCAGACGTGATTGGCACTGAAGCACAGCTCCTCCTGGCACCCCGGTTGCCCGTGCTGGGCTGGATGTTCAAAGGCAGGGTCTCCTCTACACATCATGCAACTGATGCTACATGGAGTAAATGGGCTGCACTAATTACACAACGAACTCGAATAGGAAATCTCAGTCGTCCAGGCATTCTAGAAGTCATCATGGACTGGTCAGAGGGCAAAGATTTTGGAATGTCACCAGAGGAGGAGGTGATGCGTGCTGAAGAGGCCCCACCATATAATAAACTGTCAGAAAGTGAAAAGCAGTATGCCTTGTTTACTGATGGCTCTTGCCGTATTGTGGGAAAGCATCGGAGATGGAAGGCAGCTGTATGGAGTCCTGGACAACAAGTTGCAGAAACTGCTGAAGGAGAGGGTGAATCGAGTCAGTTTGCTGAGGTGAAAGCCATCCAGCTGGCCCTGGACATTGCTGAACGAAAAGAGTGGCCAGTACTTTACCTCTATACTGACTCATGGATGGTGGAAAATGCCCTGTGGGGGTGGTTGCAGCAATGGAAGCAGAGCAACTGGCAACGCAGAGGTAAACCCATCTGGGCTGCTGCACTGTGGAAAGATATTGCTGCCAGGGTGCAGAACCTGGTGAAGGTACGTCATGTAGATGCCCATGTACCCAAGAGTCGGGCCACTGAGGAACACCAGAACAACCAACAAGTGGATAAAGTGGCTAAGATTGAAGTGGCTCAGATGGACTTAGATTGGCAACATAAAGGTGAATTATTTTTGGTCTGGTGGGCCCATGACACTTCAGGCCATCAGGGAAGAGATGCAACATACAGATGGGCCCGTGATCGAGGGGTGGACTTAACAATGGACACTATTGCCCAGGTTATTCATGAGTGTGAAACATGTGCTGCAATTACTCATGCCAAACGGTTAAAGCCTCTTTGGTATGGAGGACAATGTCTGAAGTATAAATCTGCGGAAGCCTGGCAGATTGACTATATCACACTGCTGACAACCCGCCAAGGCAAGCACCATGTGCTTACCATGGTGGAAGCAACCACCGGGTGGCTGGAAGCATACGCTGTGCCCCATGCCACTGCCCGGAACACTATCCTGGGCCTTGAGAAACAGATTTTGTGGCGACACAGCACCCCAGAGAGAATTGAGTCAGACAATGGGACTCATTTACAGAGTAACCTTACAGATATTTGGGCCACAGAGCATGGCATTGAGTGGGTATATCACATCCCCTACCATGCACCAGCCTCTGGGAAAATCGAACGGTACTATGGGCTGTTAAAAACTACACTGAGAGCAATGGGTGGGGGAACTTTCAAGCATTGGGATACACACTTACCAAAGACCACCTGGTTGGTCAACACCAGAGGATCTGCCAACAGGGCTGGCCCAGCCCAGTCAGAACTTTTACATGTTGTAGAGGGGGACAAAGTTCCCGTGGTGCATATGAAGAACTTGCAGGGGAAGACAGTCTGGGAAAACAGCCAATGAACTTAACTGTATGCTGTTGCCTGCTGTGTAATACTTTTATAGGCCATCAACTAGATGTCTCCAGGTCACCAGAGACTAGCCCTGCCTTCCCTCCAACCATCATCCCAACAGAGAATGAACTTTGATAGAACTGGATGAGTTCCGCAGTAAAGGAACGACCAGCATCAGCAGGCAACGATCCAATACTGCACACAGCCTTTCCTGCCCTGAAAGATTGTTACGAGAGATGGAACCTGACATCATGGACCGAATGGACTCAGCAGCATTATAGGGTTTGGTCCGTGCACTAAGAAAATGATCTCTTTCTCTTGGTCTGTATGTGTATGGATGTATATATGTGGGAGAGAGATGGTATATTGAGAATGTGGGATCTGAGCATGACATGAATGGTATGGAATAAGGGGTGGATAATGTCCTGGCTTCAGCAGTAGCAGTCATTTTTCTCCTTCTTGGTAGCTGGTGCAGTGCTGTGTTTTGACTTCCAGCATGGGAACAGTGCTGGTGATACCGATGTTTTCGGTTGTTGGTAAGTGATGTTTACCCTGACCAAGGACTTTGTGAGGCTCATGCTCTGCCAGGGAGGAGGGGAAGCCGGGAGGAAGCAGGGACAGGGCGCCTGACCCAGGCTAGCCAGGGAGGTATTCCATACAACAGCACATCATGCCTGGGGTGGGGGGTAACTGGGAGTTACCCAGAAGGACACTGGCTTCCAGGTGGGACTCGTTTCTTGGTGAGTGGTATTATATTCTCTTCCCTTGTTATTTTCTCTTATCATTGTTGTCGTTGGTGGTAGCGGTGGTGATTTGTGTTGTACATTGGTTGCTGGACTGTTCTTGTCTCAACCTGAGGGAGTTGCACTCTTTCAATCCTCCTCCCTGTCCCTCTGGGAGTGCGGAAGGGGTGAGCCCCGGGGGGGTGCGGGCCTTGATTGCTCTCAGCCCAGCACTGCTCAGTAGGAGTGAGTGAACAAGCTATCTGGCTAGGGTTTAAACCACGACACTGACACAGCTCTCAATGCAACTATTAATAGTAGTAACTATGCTAATGTACATAATGAGCTAATTAGCTGTGGTATAAACATGAAGTACTGCATATAAAGGGATTTTTAATCCCAGATAACTTCAAGTTTTAATCAACTTGCTCAAAAATAACCAGTTTTTTTGACTGTGCTGGTTTGATTGTAGTTTTGGAAATACTGTGCTGAAGGTGATTTTCCATAATTTAGTCAGGAAATAATTGTATTATCTTAGAAATAACTGAAAGGTTGATAAGCCATCACGACTTGCAGTATTCGGCCATTCTGCAAAAATAAGCCTTTTCAGTGTAAGGTCAAACTCTGGTCAAACTGATCGCCAGAAAGAGAAAACTCCCTGTTCATTACCTAGATCTCTTCAGTCTACTCAGAGAAGGAATTTTGCAAGAGCTTTCAATTGCTAGAACAGAAAATAGATGCACTGAAATGCTATTACATTTACAGAAAGCTCCAGGATAATTTATTTATGAGATGGATTGTTGGTTTTGTGTACTCCTTATGTTAATCATTTTTTATTGCGTTTATTCTATCCAGTTGGGCCAGTGAAAACCACCCAATTAAGATACTATTCAGGCATACAACTTCCAACCCTATCCAGAAATAAGAAGGCCAATTATCCACAGGTTTGGGGGTTTTGTTTGTTTGGGATTTTTTTTTGTTTTGTTTTGGCTTTTTTTTTTGTGTTTTTTTTGGTGGGTTTTTTGTTTTGCTTTTTTTTGTGGGGGTGGGTGATTGGTTTTGCTTTTTTTGGGGGGGTGGTTTTGTTTTGTTTCTGTCGGTTTGGAGTTTTTTTGGTTGTTGTTTTGTTTTTTTTTTTTTCAGAAGCCTCTAAGAGGTTCAGCTCAAGTAGGTAGAAGGGGGTCCAGGAGAAGCCTACTTGCATGGCAACTAGAGCTTAGTTGACCATGCAAAGGAACTAGGTCCTTCCCACCAAGTTCACACTGTCCCTCTGCAGTGGTATCTTTCCCAGCCTTTCTCAAGGGGATCAAGGGCTTTGTTTCATTCTCCTGCAGAGAGCTGGCAGCTGATGAGGGCTTTCATGGCTGATTTGTGATGAACCTGTTGACATGCATATTGGTACTGCTTTTCAGGTATGAAAACTTGTCTGTCATACTCTAATAAATGTCAGACTGTCCTTTGACTAGGAGGCAAACCGGTGGACCAAAGTAAAACAAAACCAAACCCCATAATTAGAGCTTACCTCCATCGTAGGGATGTTTACCAGTTGAAGACAGTGGGTGCATGAGCAGGGAAAGCAGTGAGTTCATTACTTTGTGAATCTGTAGCTCTTTACTCTTTGAAAAATGAGGATAGCAGAAGCAGAGGCATCAGTTTTTCTGGCTTGTTCCACCATTGCACTTGCACACAGAGATCCGATGACTTAGGCCTTCAATTTGCAGTTTGAATATTCTCCTACTATGGCTTTGTCCTGCAGATTTGTCCATAAAGAATCAATTATTCAGCCTTTAACAGCAGTTTTAAAACTTTTTGGTCTAATAAGAAAAATATCATTTGGTGTGTCCATCAAAGTTATGATATTTTTATGTTTATGTGAATTACATTATGTCTGAAGCAGGGTTTAAGTGCTGTGGCATTGCAGTTAAAGATCAAAACTGATTGTGTTTTGCATGCCAATACTGTAAAACAATGCCATTTCTATTTTAAAAATATCTGATTTTTCAATAACAGATTCCATTGTTTATTTGAAATGTGAATTTAAGCAGCTAGTGTTTATAATATGTAAATCATTAATCTTCAGACTTTAATCTCTATGATCCCATTTAACCCAGTGATGTGTGGATGCCTTATATTGTTTATTGAGATATGAGGTAAAATATAAATGAAATATCTGGAGAATCAAAATTATGTTCATAACACTTTCTTAATCTGCATAACATACTTAATGCTAGATGTGTTAGAAAGCTATTTGTATATTTCCCTGATGAACAGTAATATGGACATACTGGCAAGGGTAAACATATTAATTAGAGCCTGCACATCTCTCCTTCTTGCTAGTGTAATCATTAAATTGATTTTTCCAGTCTGACATGTAATTGTTCCAGCGATGGAATCCTGCTTTCCACTCTCGTTCTGCTTCATCAGTATTTCCTGTAAAACATGAAATGGGTTACATTAATCTAAATTTGAATCTCTTTATATGCTAATTGAAAAATAATTTTGATTATCAATGTCATTTGCTCCAGATACATTGTAGGGTGGTCTTTTGTCTCATTTCTTAAACCTGGAATGACTGAAAACTCGGTGATTAACACTTGGTCTTTACATCAGGAATGAAGGATGTTTTTCTGGCACACTGGAGGATATATAAATATACTTATGTGTAGCCTCGTTGCTTTTGGATAATAATTCTGTCCATCAAAGTTATAATTTTAAAACCATCTCTTTTTTTTTTTTTTTTTAATCCTCCAAATATTACTTTGATTCAGCACAGTCTACTGTGAAACTGGCATATCCCTAAGAGCATGTTATGTAACCAGAGATAGGTACTTGTAAAGATACAGTGAAATCACAGCTTTCTTCAAGAAAACAACAGTACTGCTGTTAGTTTTAGTGGATTTCATCCAACGGATGACCATAATTTCACCCTACTGTGGCATAAATCTGCAAGTTTCAAGAGTAAAGGGGCACAAGTTTGGAGAAGGATACTGTAAAATGTGCACTATATGTCAACATGGAACCATCTTCTCTTTTTCATTCTAGCCTATAAAATGTTTGCCAACTAATCCTGTGTCCCAAGGCAATATTTATTGCCAAATTTGTTATAGGCGTCAGGGCAGAGTGTGAGAATGAGAAGAGTAATAAAAATATATCATTGTACAAAGTATTTTACAGACAGGGATCACTTCCTTCAGTCCCAAAAGATAATTAACAATAAATGCAGTGACCTTGCAGGAACAATCCATACAAGAACTAAAGGAAAGATAATGTATGTGGGCTCTATCACGTACTGTGGCTTATTATTTTAGATCAGTTGTAGACTTTAAGGAAATGTTTAGAAACCATTTATGATCTGTGAATGCTTTATTCATTCTGGACCTAATTATCTCAGTCTCCCATATTGACATAGCTCATTTCCAAAAAAACTTGGTAATTGTGTTCATGAGATAAAACTTCCATGGTTTCTTTATGCTTTTTTGACTTTATGTTCTTCTGCTGCAGTAGAGCGTAGGCCCTTTTCCTCCATAAATACACCCTTTTTTATGATCTGCCAGCGCTGCAAGTTTAACTGGTTACGTGAAAATGAAATATTTTTGTGTTTTGCACATCAGATGTCAAAATATTCTGGAAAGAGAGTTAGCAGATTCAGAGATTAAGTTTGGAGAAGCATCCAGTATTTTGGTTGCTTATTTGCACTTTAGCTCAACATTTGTAAACCTTTTTGGTCTGGAAATCCAGATGGAAATTTAACGAGACTTTGAAATGAGATTTACATTGCTCCTTGGTTTCAGTGAGACCAGAAATAAAACCAAGATAGTTTTTCCTGCGGAGGTTTAGTGCTACTCCTTGTAGTCAAAAGGGAAATTGTGAAGAACAAATATAGGAAAAAAATATTAAAAAATAAACCACACTCTTCTCCCTCAATTCAAAGGTGTAAATAAGCCTGGTTACATTGGCGATCAAAGAAAAGTTCAGATAATTTTTAATTATAATTGCAGTCTGAAGAAAAAAAGATAAAGGGGATTTGTAAATGCTGGTAACAATAAAACCATGGTTTGATTAGTAAGCTATGCAGGTATGACTCCCAGCACTATGGGGAGAAGACATGCACAACATACTACTTTCCTGACTCTAAGAACTTGCCTTTGCATGTTTCTAAATTTAAAAATGTAGCCAGGGTCTTTGTAAAGACAGATTTGCCACATATGTCAAACAGATGGGTATTTTAGTATATGAACCACTAGTGTTACTTGGAGAAAAATGCCTCAGCTGTATTTCTTGTCTTATTCTTGATTATGGGTATGCAGTTTTATTTATCCAGACAATGGCTCTACTTACGAAGTAAAGAACCTTGTTCCTCCTTTAATTTTTCAGGTTTAGATGTGTTTGAAGTCTGCCCAAAGACTTTAGAAACTGAAATACTTCTAACATACACACATCTTCAATTAAAAATCAGAATATAAATTATAAGGCATTTTGGTGCCTCTGAAAGATCACGGTGAGGAAGCAAGTTAGCTAGAGAAAGCAGACAACAAGTAATTTGGAGTAGCCACCATTATGAATCTAAAAGACAAAAGGGGAAGTAAAACACTGAAATAAGAACTTGCATTCTCATTTGTTTGCTTTTTTTCAGTGATAAGATCCAAATTGATGTCACAAGTCAATGCATCCCATTATCAGCAATATCATCAATCTGAAGTAACCACCCATGACTTGGATGATCTGACAGCTGGAAGGCAAAAAAAAAACAAACAGAAACAACCCACAGGATTAGAGGATTCAACTTGACCAATAATTAAAGTGCTTGGAGCACTGAATTAGTACAATGTGCTGCAGCACTATGGAGGTCAGCTAATAATACAGTGAGGTTAAGTTGCTATATGCAGTCATTTAGGCAATCCCAAACTTTACACTAATACTGATTAGCCTAATGCAAAGTACAGTGAAGTTTTCAAGGAGAAAAAAAGGAGATGTTTCAGAAGGCAATGAATCATACCGCAGTCCTCAGAAAGGTCCCAGTTTAACAGACCAAAAAATGAAAGTTTTTTTTATTCTTTGGCAGAGTCAGCACAGACAGCTGGCATTTCTTTTATTTCCACACAGGCATGCAGCCTTTACTTTAATAGCATTGTAGCAAAGTTAAATTTATCTCCATACATCATTTGCCAAACTGCTAGATGTGCCAATAAAGTACTAATCTTAGATGTATTTTTGTGTATTAACATTAAGATTGGGACAAAGGCCATATAGCTGTTATGATATAGCAAAATTAATAAGGGATGACAAGTTAGAATTAATTTTTATGTCTTCAACAGCCCATAAATGTGGGTACCTGCAAACTTCTTGATTCATTAGTCTGATTAATGATAGACATTTATGCTATAGATTCTCATGGTGATAGTTTCTACACAAATGTTCAAAAAGAAGAAAACAGTATCTATACTTCATTATCTCTGTTCAGTGTTCTTTAATCACACAGTCAGAATACAAGGGTTTTTGTTTGGTTGTTTTTTTTTAACCGCAACGTATGTATTTCATGTATATTTTTAAGGACTTAAGGTTTTTAAAGCTTTATTTCTTTTATTCTTCCAAAAATCAATATAGCTCTCGGGGAGATAAAATGTTGTAAGGGCTGTCATCTTTCCTATGACCCCCGATAGAAGGTACTGGAGTTAGAAAGAAATCAGATTGAGGTACATTGCTTATTGTCCATAGGTGTACTGAGTAAAATCTTTGTCAGTAGGTGTGGTAATATGGGTGAGGTTACTTTTGACCCGTTCACTTATCTGGATGCATGCTAAGTGTAGCATCTAGCTCTGTGGAAGTTGAAAACTAAATCTGATGGTGAATTTTCTAAACAGTCAAATTTTTAATGTTCTTACTACCCTGAGTGTTTAGCTCTATAGAATCCAGGTACTGTTTGGAGTACCATAGCAAATATATATTTTTGTTATTCACTGGTTGAATTTTTCAAAAAAGTTCAAAGGCTGAACTTTTCTCTGCCTCCACATTCAAAATCTTTTTAGGGCAGTTTGAGCAACCTGCTGTAGTAGAAGTTGTCTCTTCCCATGGCAGGGTGGCTGGAACTAGATGATCTTTAAGGTCCCTTCCACTCAAACCATTCTGTGATACAGTACTATCAAATACATATGGTACATATTTTTCTATTTTATTAGGCGCACGAAAATAGTAATGGAACAATAAATGGAAAGGTTGGCTGCATGTAGCTTTCTATAATCAAGAGGAAACAGGCATATATAAATAGTTAGGGCTCTAGATGCATTAAAATTGTGTTAAGGAGGTAGAATCTAATATGGATGATTTTATAATTAACATATGATTGCTTTAAAAGCTACTTAAGAGTCACTTACTGTTTACTGTTCCTCTGTGTGTTTCTTTAAGAAGCAGTCATTAGAAAAAGTTCTAGTGATTGCCTAAGCTCTCATGCCCTCTAATGAAATATTAAATTCCGAATGCTCCTGGCTTGTCTTGTGGTGAATAGGAACAGAGGGTATTCTTGGTGCCTCTGCAATAAGGTTGAAATGTGTATAAAATTGTGTCTAATTGGAACTGGGAGCTCACAAAAGGCATGTCTAGGTCCAGCTTACCTGTCTAGTGGTTATTATCAAGATGGACATAAATTCACAAATTTTGACTTGTCTTCAGTCATACTTTTACGTATTGAAATCAAAGGAGAAGATATTGAGAAATCTCCTAAATTCATACAAAGTACTCTAGAAATATAAAGGCCAGTTCTTTATGTAATGGTTGGTACTATTGCGTTAATGTGTAAGGCTCTTTTTTCTTTTTTTTTTTCTTATTAGTTTTCTCAATCCATAACCGTGACTTTTTTTTTTTAACATATCTGATTTGATTGCTTAAGGAAAGTGAAAAATATCCAACCATAAAGGTGGCAGGGACTAAATATTTTCTATCTTTCATATATTTAAATGAGTCAAAGAACTTGTCTTACTCTGCCTGTCATGGTAACAGGCTTGCTCAGATGCTGAACACATTTGGAGCTGGCCATTGCATGCCAAGAAGCCCTCAAGGGTGTAGCAAGGCTTGTTCTAGGAAAGGATCAGTAGATAAATGTGTGGTCCGTTAGCAAGCACATTCATGCCAAATTCTGACCATTTGGCATGAGAAATTCCCTTGCAATTTCTCCAAAGTAAGTTGGCTTGATTGTCTTCTTGAGGTTCTACCTGATAAAATTCCACTTTGTCTATCTGAACCCTACTTGCAATAATGATAGCATAAGTTTTCCTTGCTTCTTGTTCTGTGTCATATCATGTTAAAGCAACCTTCTTTTTCTAAGGATATTTCAATGTGAGAAACAACAGAAAAGATAGAACCTCAGAAAACTCAGAAATACATATAGCATGTGCTGTCCTTTGGGCATAAAAGGAGATAGGAATGCAAAATAATATTTCAGTGAAGAGAATTATTACAATATAAAGTATTATATCATTATTGTAAGCGGAATCTTAAAGGTTTCTTTGTTAGAATTGGATAAGATTTTATACGGAACATAAATAGATAGTATTTCTGTTACAATATTTCAAGGACTGACAGATGTAGATCCATGACAAAGCAGCTCTACTTCTGGACAATATTCTTGTCTCACTTTTGTACGTAGGATCCAGGCATGATGATTCTTTCCTTTTGCTAAAAATATACTCAGGAATTTCTTTTAATTAAATTGTGTAAATTTGTGTGGTAAGTTACTGAATCTGGCAAAGTGATGTATTTGTCTCCTGGAAGATCCAGCGTGTTGCTTTGTCATCCTTTGCACCACAGAACCATGTAAAGCAACTCTGCAGTCCTGCCAAGATGTGTTCAGCTATGTCTGGTGATGTGCTCTCTGTGTTCCACCACAGAGCTTTTGGGTATGCACAGTCCATTTGTACAATGCACATTAATCAGTGGGGGTTCATAAACAGGTCAAAGAAATATGCAACATATTCCAGTTCTCCTGGCTCAGCATAAAGGGCTTATCAGAATTTTTGAAATCTCCCTAAAATCAATCCATACTTTGGTATATTGTGGTTTTAAAATCACTGAGTATGCTTTATAAATTATTTATTTTACCTACTGATTTTGCTTCTCTTGATTTAATTGAAAAATATTTACTGAGTTGAAAGCTGATAAAGTTTTGCCATAATACAGTTATAGTCTCAAATCAGGAAGGAATAAATTATTTCAGAAATAATCATCTTTGCAACAGGAAAGTTTATATATTTTAGAGACTAATATTCAAACTGAATCTTACAGAAAGCTTGTAAATTACTGATTAGCATTTAAAAAGTGTATCTTATTTTTGAAATGAGATTTTCCTTTCCTACCCCCCAGTCAAACAGCAGAATGCTGTTCCAGAGCTGAAAAATTACTTTATAAAACCAATTCCTTTTGAAGTACAGAAGCGCAGAGGCTTGGTCTGTTTGCTGGGCTTTACAAAAACAGCAGCATCAGGCTCCTAAAGAAAATCTGAGACTTTTGTCTTCAACTGAGCTTAAAGTTTCACAGAGCAGGTTATATTTTTTTATGTAGCGGAATCCCACAAATTTATTGCGTACAAGGTCAGGCACAAATCAGTTATATTTTGCACAGGCAAATCCTGAAGTCTCTGGATGTCATCAATGGTTGACAGTCTAGAAATAGAACACAATGCGCTCTCACATGAGGTGTAGAACAGAATTCTCTCTTTACAGCAGCCATGTACTTAATATATTCTGTGCATTAGTTTCATGATAATATAAACCCATAAATAATAGATAATGCCCCAATATAACATGCCACAACCTCCCTCAGATATTTACACAGTATCTCAGGAATCCAGACCCAGTCAGTGCCCAGACCCTTTCATAGGGTAGTTTGAGAACGGATTATCTGCAGCGCTCTTAATGTCTCCCATTGTGGCTGCATCTGCATTTTGAGACAGAGAGGCTCTATGCTGCTGAAGTCCTGGGCCTTGGACCCTAATACACAGCAGGGTGCTACAGGGTAGTGAGCCCCTGGCCTGAAGCATAGGGCACTTTACATGGCACCCCCTTACCACAGCGTGGGCAGTTTTGTTCAACATCTGAACACCTCATGGAAGTTAACTCACAAACAGGAATGTAAAGATTTAAACTCAAGTATCATATTAATATCAACCAAGTGATCCTTGTATGAAACTTAAATAAAGTATTTTTACCTGTCATTTCCAGGACTTTGGGAAAAAAATTATTCCAGAATCGACACTGCTGAGCATGTAATTTTGTCAGTATCTCTGAAGTGTGAGTATTTAATGTCAAATATTTTTGTTCAGTACTAGTGAAGACTGGCCACCTTGTTCCATTTATCAGGGTCCCATTTGGAGTTCTAAATGGGAGAAGAAACATTTCATTTGGAATAAGAAATTACCTCAGCATCAATAAAACATAATTTGTTTTTTTTAATCTAACACTTATTTCAACCCCAGTATGTTACTTTAGAATTACTGAAGTATACTTTTGCAAGTAACAGGAAAAAAAAGAAGGTAAATTTGATTTAACTTCATTTAAAAAAAAATTAGATTACCCTTTTGGGCTATTTTGTTGAGGGGAAAAAGCTAATAAATAACTGTATACAAACTACATTTAGCAAATTTGAAAATTCTCACGGAAGCTGTAAATTATTATAGATAACTTGAAAAAAACACCAAGCAGTCTGAGAGGTTGAGTGTTTATGTTTTGTTTGAATGTTGCTTATCCCTTCAGAAAGACAAATAGATTGGACTAAACAGCTCAGATAAAATTGCAAGTAAAGGTACATACAATGCCTAAACTTTGGATGAGAGCTGTATTGGGAGAGAAAACAATTATTCCTCATTAAGAAGCAGCTTCCTCCTTGAAGTATGTTGAGCCCTGTTAGCCAAGTGCCAAACAAGTACAATCTCAAATCTTTTAGAAACTGGGAAGAGGTACTGAGTGCTTGGCCCTTTACAAAGCAAGCTCTGCAGTTTAAAAGATCACAGCTGTAAGCTTTTAGATAGTTGTGATAAATACTTGCAATACAACAGAATTCATAAGGCTCTATAGACAGGCATTCAATTTTTCACCACCATAGAGGACTATACATAGTATCTATATGACTAGAAAGAAAAAAGTAGCTGGTTGAAGTATGCAGAACAACAAAATGGGGAGCATAGCATTAGCAAACAAATGAGAAAGAGTATTATTTTCAGAAAAAAAAAAAGGAGTAGATTTACACTTTAAATAGTCACAAATCACCATTAGCTCAGAAGAAGTTAAGAATACAAATTAAACAACTTATTGCAGTATAATCAGAAGAACTTTTTCTTTTTTCCCTAGAAGCTGATATCAAGGAATCTGGGGTTTAGGGCAGAACAACAGTATTTGATGATTCTTAGTGGGATAAATTAAGAACACTATTAGCTATGTTAATTTGGTTATCTATTTTATTTTTCACCTAGAATCTTCCCAAAGGCAGTGGTCAGATAGGAGTTCAGGGTGTGAGGATCTCACTTGAGTTCTGCTTGCCAGAAGTGGGTATAAAGTACTGGATGTAGGTGGAAAACCGATTCAGCTGCTCAGGTAATACCTGTATCTCTTAGTTTATTTGGAATGAATCAGGTTTTCAGCCCATGTTTTAGTACTCTGGAGTCTTTGGCAATTGGCTGCTTACAGAAATGGTATTAGAGTAAGAGATTCAGCATGTCATTTCCTGAATTGCTCACTTCTTTACTGATTTTTCTTTACTAATTCAGCTCTGATTAACCTATAGCACCCTTTTTATCTGCACATCTATCTGTGGCCCATGAGAATTATGACTTAAGCAGAGCTGACTTGCACTTCAGTTCAAGATCAGAACACTAATGGTGCTGTCAGTATTCATTTAACAGCTTTTATGCTATGAAATAAATCATGACATTCCACGTTATAATTTACAGGTGTGGAGGGATTACACAATGGCTACAGATGTATTTTACTAAAAATGATTGAAAGAGCTGTCAGGTGAACACAGCATTTTGAAATACGTGAACCTGCTGATTGTGATACTCTCTCTGCTTACTGTTCAAAGAAATGTCCAGTAATTTCCTTCTTAGCTCCATTGCTGAAAATTTATTTCCCGAGTTAAAAAGAAGCTCCTATTTACAGCAAAACAGAGATCACAGGAGTATAATTTTGAACAGGTAAGTTGTTACAACTATAACCTTGTTCTGTCACAGTTACTGTTCATTACATTTTACTAATTAGTTCATGATAAGAATTGCAGTAACTTATAAAATTTCCTGTTCTTTATACCAAACTCAAAGCTTAATAATATTCATATGGAAAAATAAAAGAATTGTGATAATATCCTTAATGAAAAAAAAGGAATTCAATACACTGCTCAAACTTGTCTCTGTCCTTCTATGTTTGTATGAACAGTCTTTGCTGATAGATAAAGGAACTTGCTTCTACTGAAACAAAGCTCAGTTTCTATGGTAGCCTCCATATTGTCATCCTTATCAATTCCTCAGACCTCTGCTCTTTTATCTTCTGGTGCTACTCAATCATCTCTTCTTCAGTACATTCCAGTTTTGCCCACCTCAGTGCTGTCAATGTTGCCTGAAGGTGCATCCTGAAAGGGCTTGGGACGGGAAACTTCATGACGGAACTCTATCATGTGCATCTGCCTTGCCAAACATTTATCACCTTTCTTAGACTTCTGTCCATATCTGTAAACTTTACTTAGGGAAAACCTTCATTTTGTTTGGAGAAAATGTGAGCTTTTTCACTGAATTTTTAAAACATAGCTAGCTCTTCTACACGCTTTTTAATATTTGCAGGAGTCTTATGGCAATTAAGAAATACAATTATTTGAATTGTTCCCAGAGAAGAAATGCAAGAGAGGGCAAGAAAAAACAAACAAAACAAAACCAAACCGTAACAAAAAAAAACACCTGTGTGTAAGAGTTGGTGTAAACAGGATTTGTTTTGTTATTTCAGCTAATTTTTTTTCTTTGCATATACCCCGAAGGTATAGGCTGAACTCTTTCTACTCTGTGATAGTGGTACAGCAGCTCATTTATAGTTAATTATTTCATTAAGATATGTCTTTAAGGCTGCCAAACTTATTTTCTCATTAATGTGAAAAACAGATTATCTTTGTGGGTGAAGTCTCCAGTAAAGCTGCTCTCATGTTTGACCTTTATACATATACATGCTCTCATTGAAGTTCACGAGCCTTAGTTAATCTTGTGCTCAGTGGAAATTGCTTAGTATTACCCACTAAGATCAGGTTCTTCCCTCTTTGGGTATTGTATGTCAATAACTGTCAATAATTATAATAATAAATAATAACAAATAAATAATAATTATATTCTCAAGACTCATAGTACATGTATTAGACTTGACATAGGAGTGAAGAGGGTTTTAGAGGAACTTATTTACTGATCATTTAGATATATTTAATGCTAATCTTCAACAGCTATAGAAAGAGAAAGTTAATTTGGTTCAGATGGAAAATGCAACAACCTGAACACAGTTCTGTTAATCATAATAAGCATACCTACATTACCATTCTCATTAATATAATCAATATAACCTCAAATAACAATATTAGTTCCCTGCACATTTATCAATATTCACATAGCATTATTTTTACAGATGGTTTATCATACACATAAAATGTAATTAATCTAACATTTTATGGTAAGCATTCATGATATAAAGTACCTGAAACCTATTCATTTTATATTTGTGAGTGAGCCCTGAGTAGTTTTCACTCTTCTGTGGTATGACCACTTAACAGAGAGGTACTTTTTCTAAGTCTCCTGAGAATGGTTTTAGGCTGTTTTAGGATTTACCTTCCTAATGAGTGTTGTAAATGCTAATTGTACCCCAAGCCGGTTCAGATTGTCCTAAGCTTTCACTTTGTTCCTATTTAGTTGTTCTACTTGTAAATGGATGAGGTTAACATGCTGTGTGTTTTTCTAGAGGAAAAGAAAAACAAAACCCACATCATTTTAGCTGTCTAACACAGATGAATTATACCAACCCAAACTCACTAAGAGATTCAGAAGCTGAAACACAATTTTAGCTTCAGTCCCTGGTAGCCCCTTCCACCAGACAGACAAATATTTGTTCTGCCTGGTTGAAGCTGTTCATAGAGATATTGCTCCCTGAGAGGAAGCATGCACTAATATCACCTGAGCAGTGTGTTATTGCTCTTAATTGTCTCTTCAGTTGCAGCTGGCTTCCCTCTGACTTGCTCTGAGAAAAGATCAGCAAACATGTTTGCCTATGGTTCACTCAGTAGAGGATTTCTTATCCTGCCCATTGTGTACAGCAGCAGGAAGGTGGCCTCTCTGTGCGCAGCCTGCCTCCCTTCTTCTCTCAGCAGGATAGCAGCAACCCTACAAGCCCGACACCAAGTATGCTGTAAGGCAATTTCTTCCTTAGTGTCTCCTGCGGGTTATCACCAGACTGGCATTCTGCTGGCATGTGTTCCATTAGCTGAACAGGTTGCCCACTGAGATTAATGAAAAGGTATGATAATGCCACTGCACCCTCTGTTTCCCCCATGCAGTAAGAATTAAAATCAAATGGAGACCTGCTCCTCCTAGATGTGACTTTATTGACTTCACACAGGAAGTAAACAGTGATGCTCGTTTCCAGTTTGCCCCCTTTTTCTTTTAACAGCTGGTTTAAAGAGAGGAGAGAGTGAATGTGAATAATTTTTATTGTCTTTCATGATTCCTTGCAGCTTACAGGCAGTACTGGCAATTAGCTATTTTTCATAGGATGGTGTTTTACAGTGTGTTAGTTACCATGGGCACAACATAGCAGGGAGGGAATGGCCTTAGAACACATGCAACAGCAACAGTAATCCCATCTCTCGCTTGCTTTCTACAGCTGCATTACAAAACCTTTAAGAATTACAGAAACAGCTCAGCATCAAATAAGAAGCATGCAGTAAATGTTACCCCAGGGGTAGCTCTGTGAGTGGTGGATTGTTCTGCTTGTGTCTACACTGCAAACAAAGGGAGCTGCTGAAGCTCATGCAGTTGTACCCCAGGTCACTTCAGAGCAGCCATGCAAAGGCTGCCACCAGCAGAGTGTCGTGTCCAGCTTTGCAAACGCTCATGCAGCAGGCCAGCACAGGTATAACATCTGATAAGAGTGAATGTAATTAAGATGCTTTGAATTTGCACTTGTTGAAGTATGCAGTTAACTGCTTTTTCAGTGGTATTGTAAATTTTGGTTATGTTCTCTCCTATATACATTTTCTGCCAGGTGAAAGGGATTAAGATAGCACAGGGCAGAGAAATCCAAGGTTTGGGATAAATGAACAAAAGAATGAGAAGGCATCAACTGGGCTATAGTATCAACAGT